TTTTTTTTTGAACATTGTGATTTTAGTACTTTTACTTTCTTTTAAAAGTATTTTTTAAATTAAAAATCAGTGAAGTGAATATGTAAAGCAATATCAATTTCAGCATTCCTTTGACATAAGTACTAAAAATCTAAAAGTGAAAAAGTTTTTTCAAGTAATTTTTACACCTTGCTAGGGAAGCAATTTTTTTACTAACAAATAGATTAAAAATTTATAAAAATTAATAATTAATAATAAAGTATAAGAAGTAAAACAGGAACGGTAAAACTTTTCACCTGAGCTTCTTTTTGCAGTTAACTAAACAAGCAGCCTGCAGTATTAACGTTTGCTTTTTCACAAGGCAATTTTGAATTAAGTTTTCCTTTATATTTTTCAGTCACTAACATTAGTTTTCTAAAACTGTTTTTCCTGTAAATGTGAATTATTTTATAAATTTTTATAGAGCTTTGATTATTACCTTGAACTGATAGAGAGTCAGACCGTATAGAAAAATAAATAAGATTTATTTACAGCTTTTTTTTAAAATTATGATGCAACAGTTTTTAACATATGTAAAAAGCTAATTGAATAATAGACAATTTTTAAACAGCTGATAAAGAGCTCTGCTATGCTAAACATATTTTATCTCTTTCAAAACGATGATTCATAAAATATTCATTTTTCCAACTAATTTTCTTTTTGCTGCACATAAATGTTGATCAGTCTCCTGGTCTAAAATTTCAAATCTCTATGATCTTACAAGTTTATAGTTTTTTAAATGAAAATTTTAGACTAAGCAAGAAGATTTTTTTTTTTCATTAATAAGCCTTGTCAAATGCTTTTAAATTCTGAACCCTAAACTAAAATGAGCTGTTTTAAAAGTATTTAATTTCTAATTACTTATTTCTGTTCAGTAAATTACCTAATGATTTTCTCAAAACTGACTTACTTACAGAGAGCTATCTAAACATTGCATTAATATCTTTCTGGTTTTGACACAATTTCTTCTTTTTTTTTTCGAGATCAAAAAAAGTTGTCAAAAAATTTAGAGTTCTGTAAAACAGTAGTGCAATAAGGTATAAAAGTTACCGAAAAATTTTGTATCGATTAGTACAAATTATTACCCTAACTTTAATAAGTTTAAAAGCTGAATGCTGTAAATCAGTAGATTTTGTAGATTATTCTAATGTTATCTGAGTAAGAAATGTCAGTAAACCACAACTGGCAATGCCCAATCTACATATTTGTCTTGCCAGAAAAAGAAAAACTAAAAAAGTGCTGTAAGAAACTTAAGCTTCGATTATGCAAATTTACCTAATTTATTTCAGAAATGCTGTACAGTGAAATTGTACAATTCAGAAAGAATTCACAAGAGAACCTGGTGTCTTAACAGCGATAATGAGAAGCAAGAAGCCAATCGGTTTCTAGCAGCAGCTTAACTTTCTAGTTTTCTACTGATTGATGTAGCAATTGTAAATGCTGTGCACGATAAACAATAATAATATTTGGTTTTATACAGTAAATACTGATTAAAAAGCATTGAAATTGATTTGATTTTTTTACTTCTTTGTCTACTTCTTGCTATTACACATAAACGGTTCACAAAAGAAAAAAGAGTAGAGCCTTTAACGAAATGTCTGTCCAATAACTTGCCTCAGCTAGTCTGAATATTTTAAACCGCTTAGGTTTATTAAAGAATAAATCTTTCTGGAACAATTCTGATTGCTTTTATTGCCCAAACATTCTTTTTATTAAACCTTAAACAGCTCAATGCCTCTCACTGACCTTCCTGTCTTTCAAATTACATGAATAAACTGAAAGTTCAGTAAAGAATCTTATAAAAAGAAACGCTGTTTACACGCGTTCTAAAGGTTATTTAGACTGCTAATTTAATGTACTTAATAGAAACTCTAAAAATTTCTCAGTAAATCCTGAAAGAACAGAATCATTTTACTCAGCTTACTGCCAGTGAGTAGCGCAAAAGGCAAGCCAAAATAAAGTGCTCTTCAAAGCCTGCTGCAAGTACTGCGTTAGAATAATTGTTCAATAATTAACCACCTCTCACGCTTCAAAATTTTTTTCTTAATTGCAATTAATCCGTTTCACTCAACCTTTTTTTTCATTATTTTAAGGATGTTTGACAAATGAAAAAATGTGTGCGTATAGTGGCAAAATAAAAGAAAAACCGCCTGAGTAAACTAAATAGAATTGAGCAAAATGTATTCACGTTTCACTTTTTTGATATGATTTTAGCGAAAATAGTACGTAAAAGGTGAGAGATTCTTGTAACACAATTTTTTACAATTTCTTTGTTGAATAAGAGGCTTCTCTAGTTAGTGTTCTAATTTTTTTATTAATTTTAATTTGTTGTGAATCTCAATTCTCGACCGAAATTTTCTGCTTATCTAATCACCGTTGTGCCACTTATTAATATAGATTGCCAAATAACTGTTTGCAGCTAGGTATTCGATTACTGCTAGGTAGATGCTCAATAAGTTTAGAAGTTATAAAGTTGCTGAAAACTTACATTGTTAAGAGATAGTTTGCAGGCAACCCGTTTGCAGGTTCGTGAGCTTGGATAAATTTGGCCAAAAAATTGGAAGAAGAAAGGAAACAACTTTTTGAACGAGTTGGTTAAAGTGTCGCTTTACAGATTCCAATTCTTTCCTAACTGTTGCCAAAACTCACAGCAACGAACAGGCTATAAAAAATAGCAGATTCTCAGTTAGGATAGCAAGAAATCATCGGAATGCTGTAAGACCTGCACAGCGTACTCTGCAGGCGCTGGAAACTACTCGAGGAAAAATGTTCGCATTGTTTAAGAAATTTAGAAAATGGTAAGGGTGAAATGAGAAATCACTGCTGAGCAAAATTTGATCACCACTTACACTCTGAAAGTTTCTGCTCTTACAGTATTGATGACAAATTTATTGGAAATTAGTGAGCAAAAAATTTTTATTTAATATCAGAAAAGAAAGAGGCAAAAAACAACGGTAAAAAACTTTACGCTGAAGACTAATATTCAACGCTACAGCTCACGCCAATTTGAACAGCGAGAGCAGTACAATAGAAAACAAATTTGAAATGAATACGAAGTATAAAAAAAATGGAACAACGAGTTATTAATGTATTTACATAGTCCCAAAATAATCGGATCTAAGTGCTTCCATAAAAATTTTAATGTGAGGGTAGATTCTCTACTAAAGCTCTCATTGTAGAAACTGTTGCATCAAAGAATTGTGCGCTTTACTAAGCTCTAAGTTCAAATACAGCTGTTAACACAATACTTTTTAACCTGCAAAGCTGGTGTTGCAAAGTTTAGGTATAATTTCCAAGTTTCTCTATTTCTCATTACCTGTTTTTTAATTGACTGCTACTTACTGCTTATTGTGTTATCTTTTTTATCTAATGCGAAGATTGCAGTTCAAACTGTTCAGTCATCTGTAATTTTAGCAATAATTTCTGCTTCTAAAATTGTCACCTGTGACTTAAGCACAGTTAGACTCTGATGTATTGAGTTCTTCCACTAAACCTTTTTTGAAATGATTAGAATTTTTTGCTTAAAAGTTCCTGAATAATTTCTGACGTGATAAAATTTTCTTTGAAGGAGAGACTGTGACACATTGAAAATTCTTATTTGGTATTGAACAAAATATAAATTCACAGAAAAAGATAAAAAAAAATGGTTTTTTTGAAATAAAAATTTCTGAAAATATAGTTTACAATACGTAACAATTTTCAAATTATAACTGCACTCGCTCAGTAAACCAGACTTCCCCATCAATTAGAATTCTAGAATCTTGAGCAGCTCGTCTTTATTTAGGAAATACTCATTGATTTACAGCTTTAACTACCAAATAATTCAGTTAATGTACGTTTTTGACATTTGAGAAAGGCAATGCCAACTGCATTTAATAAGCTCGTTTATAAAACTTTGCTGAGTCATCATTTACCCTGCCAACGTTCAAGCTATTTCTTTGAAAACCAAAGTCTTCTACAAAAGGAAGTAGCTTACTATGTTTAACAGCCGATGTTAATTCAGATAAGTGACTAACAAATATAAACGACTCAACAACACTGCTTTGGCGAACTGTTGAGGCCAGTTAAATGCCTTTTTTTTCCACTGCAAGGTTTTAGTATCAGTACTTTTTGCTAACATATAATTCAGTAGTTCCAGCTTCAAGATAGTGTTAAAAGTTTTAGGTAAGTCTAAGGGTCTACCACAAATGTTTATTCTGTATCAGCTTCTTTAGTTCAATAATTACAGGTGAAAAGTTGCATAATTGCATTTTCTCACCTCAATAAATCATACTGCTCAAAGTAAAAAATACTACACCTCTTAAAACAATTGATTAAATAGGTTGCTACTATTTTTAAAAATTCTGCAAAGTAAACAAATGAGGCTAACGAGCTTATAATTCGACACTTTAATTTATAGTCATCTAAAAGAAAAACAGAAAAACCACAGCCTTCATCCAAATGTCAGATACTTTCTCCTCATTATTGCATTTTTTAAGGATGTTAAGCTGTGAAATAGCAACAACAATAGATATCGTGTGATAGACGATACTCAAAAAGACAACATTTTCTTTTGAATAATTTAGGAAAGTGTTTTTGGGGACATTGTAAACATCAGTTACATCAGAATTCAAATTGTCTGTACGCCCACAGCTTTTCAGTGAACAAAGTATACAAAAAAGTGCACAGCTAAAAATGTGATTTGCACATTGTAACAATCAGTTTTACAACAGTGGCTTTAGCTGACAATAATGTCGTGCAATAAAAATGTTTTTGAAAATTCAAAGAAAATTTAAGATTTTGAGTTGGTTTACTAATAATTCAAACTTTTTTGGTTCTTTATTTTTATCTTTTCAGCTTTTATCAATTTCTCTGCATCTTGCACTTAAAGTTTTATTTGCTAACCGTCTTCTCAGATTATTCGAAATTCCAGCAAGTTATAAGCCTGAAATGTGGTTGTGTGTATTTATGCACTGATGAGAAATCTTTTTCTGGCACTACAAGGTTCGGCGAGTTAGACTTCAAAAAATAAGTTTTTCTTTTTTTTAAAAACAATATGCAGTTGAAAAATAAACAGACAGAAAGCGGTTTTTGATTTGCATTATTATTTTTTTTTG